TTGGATTATATTTTGAGTGAAACAGAATGCAGCCAAATCATTTGGCACTATAAAGTAATATAATTCTGACTATTTAGGTTTGGTTTATTTTGTTGTTGTTGTTTTCTTGTTATTTTTTAAGAACTGCTGTGGTCTTTGGGTGGAGAAAAGATGACAGGCATCAGGGTTTGGGAAAGGGGAAACAGATGGGTGCTGATGCTGTGGCCTCCATCCAGATGGGCTGAGAGTTGTGGCCGTGGAGACTGTAATATAACTTGAAGGTCACATCACCATGATTTGCTTTGTAGATGTGACACATACAAGAAGGAGAGGTGTCAGGAGGCCATAATGTTTGGCTTGAGCAACTGAATAAATGAAATTATTCTGAGATGTAAAAAGAAATTATTTATTCAGATAAGATAGAAAAGACTAGGACGGGACACATTTAGGAGTGGGAGGATGAGGATTTTGGTGCTGTGGTTTGGAAATGACAAAGTGGTTATCTACTGATCATCCAGTTGGACATGGCGAGTAGGCCGTTAGAGCCTGTGATGCAGCTGAGAGGTTAGGACTATACATGTCAACCTGGTAGCTACCAACATAAAGATTCCAGGAAGAATAGTAAAGAACTATCAACAGTTGTAACAGGGGAGCTTATGATAAAGGATTAGTGAGTGTTAACAGAGAAAGAAAAGCATAGACTCTGGTGATTCCTACATTAGCAGCAGGAACATCTGCCTTATTTACTACTCTGAAAGCACCTTCAGAGAAGAAATTATGCCTTAATCATTTTGGAAGCTTAACACACAGTTAATGTAAGTCTAGTCAAGGCTATGGTTTTTCCAGTAGTCATGTATGGATATGAGAATTGGACTATAAAGAAAGCTGAGTGCCAAAGAATTGATGCTTTTGAACTGTGGTCTTGGAGAAGACTCGAGAGTCCCTTGAACTGCAAGGAGATCCAACCAGTCCATCCTCAAGGAGATCAGTCCTGGGTGTTCATTGGAAGGACTGATGTTGAAGCTGAGGCTCCCATACTTTGGCCACCTGAATCGAAGACCTGACTCATTTGAAAAGACCCTGATGCTGGGAAAGATTGAGGGCAGGAGGAGAAGGGGATGACAGAGGATGAGATGGTTGGATGGCATCACTGACTCAATGGACATAGGTTTGGGTGAACTCTGGGAATAGGTGATGCTGTCAGGGAGGCCTGACGTGCTGTGGTTCATTGGGTCACAAAGAGTCGGATATGACTGAGCGACTGAACTGAACTGAAGTAGCCAACACTGGATGGCCTCTTGGTAACTACAGATTGAATGAATACAGAATGAGTTAAGGGAATGAAGGTGACTGAGGCTGGCCTGATCCAGTCCCTTCCGCTGCCCCCAGGAAACTACACAGAACAACAGTCCTCACCACAGATTGCTTGGCAGTTGCTCAGTTGACATAAGTGCGCCTTGGAAGAAGCAAGGTCCTTGAAGGTGGACAGGCTTGAATCGCAGCCACTGTTACTTGTTTGCCATGAGACTTTGGCAATGTATTTAGCGCTCAGAAATCGTTGTCTCAATAAAATGTATGAGCATTAGAGCACAGTGCTTGGCATATAAAAAGCACTGAGTAAAAATTAATCTTCAGGAGCTCATTAAAAATACCTGGAACTTCATCACTTGTGAATTTTGAATAACATGTTATTTCATGGGCTACAGAGCCCATGAAACCAGTCACAGCTCTAAATCATGCAGATTTTGCTTTGTTATTTAAGCAAGTCAGAACTCATTTAAATCTGCTGATCTAATTAATATCATTCCAGCGATTCTCAAAGTTCTCATTACTTTTTCCTCAGTGGAGGCCCCATTTTGCATATTCAAATAACATTTATTGAGAGCTGACTATATGCTATATAGTGCTCAAAGCATGGATACAATGGGACTCAGATTCAGCTTGTCAGTAGCTGCACCTCCAGTTTATAAATTATATTTATCAATGGTTACAATAGAACAAATAATTTGCTGGTTAATTTTAGGAAATGACTTTCTACTTCCTTAACCTTTATATAAAAGATAACAACTATTCTCATATCACAGTTTTTAAAATGTATGCCCTTAAGGAATAGAAAATAAAGTTACATATTGCTACACTTTATACAATAGGTAAAAAGACAAAGATGCAACAGTTGTCCTCAAGAAGCCAACAGTCTTGTAGAAAGGATAGGACAGGAATAAACTCCATGAGCTAGCATGTGATACAGGTGAGAATTAAGATGCATAAACTAGGCATTGGGTAAATGAATGAACAAATGAGAAAACAGAGTAAATGTTATAATAACTTACAGATGCATATGATTCATTTCAGCTGAAGTCATCATGGACTGCCCTATGCAGCAATCCCCAACCTTTTTGGCACCAGGGACCGGTTTCATGGAAGACATTTTTCCACAGACCAGGGTAAAGGGGATTGTCCAGGGATGATTCAAGTGCATTAACATTTCTTGTATTCTTTGTTTCTAACCTAATACTGCGGCTGATCTGACAGGAGGTACCCAGCTGACACCCGGGAGGGTGGGGACCCCTGCTTTAGACGACGTTAAGATTTTAGCTAGAACTTCAAGAAAAATTACACTTTTATAACTAATGATTGAGAAACATTTTAAACAATGAAACTGGAAGCCATAGTTAATACCTTAGCGTAGCTAGTATACAGGGAATAACTCAGGAAATGGGCGGAGATATCACAGGCCAAGGTAAAAGTCTGGATTGTATTTAATAGGTAATTTTAAATAAGTATCGATTCAATATTTGCTTTGAAATTAATTGAAAATTCAACTCAAGATTAAAAAAAACACGAAGGAAATTAACAGCGTTCCTACCTGGAGGTCGGGCGATTCTGGTGATGGTTAACCCCGTGATTCCATCTTGGGTCCCTGCTACCCTCCCGGCTCTGCCCCCTGTCTGCCCCCGCTGTATCCTCGGGCTGGCTGTTAAACCACTACCACTGTTCAGACTTCACATCCACTCACAACAGCATCCAGCGAAAAGGAAACGGTCTTTTCAGTACGTGATACTCTCTTAGGAGTAGTGGTTCCACGTCATTCCAGAGCAGTTCCAAGTCTCGTCCAGAGAACACGCACTCACATCTTATTGCCAAGTTAATTCACCTGCTTTCTGCAGAACTAATTCCCCCCGCCATCAGATCCAAGGCCCTTATTGGCTCAGACCTAGAACCCTGACCAATCCCTACCTAGCAAGGAGAACGAGATTATGTGATGAAGTTAGACCCTGGGGCTGCCCGTAGAGTCAAAGTCCGTCATCCAATCGCTCAGCGGCCACACCGGGGTGGAGATGCTGGTGGGGGTGGGGATGCTGGTGGGGGTGGGGTGGGAGTGAAATAGATATAGAGGAGACTTCATTATTCATCCACTACAGGGAATTATTGAGCTGCTTTATACATAGGAATCACGTATGCAGATAATTCTACTGAATATTCATTTTGGTGATGATTCTAAAGATTTACAGAAAAATAAACTAAAAACTCTCTACTCATAAATATATCGCTAGGGACTTCCCTGATGGCCCAGTGGTTCAGACTCTGAGCTCCCAATGCAGGGGGCACTGGTTCAATCCCTGGTCAAAATAACATGTGCCACGAGAAATGGCCAAAAAGAGAAAAGAACTTTACCTGCAGAAATATATCTCCAGAATAACCCTTTAGGTGAATACCTATATTATCTAAATATTGCTTATAAATAAATAATTTTAAAAAATAAGACCTTATGAGAAAAACAGTTAAAGAAACTAAAAAAAAAAAAAAAATGAATACATAGTATGAAATACGAATGCTCTATTTACAGGAAAAAGCATACTCCACCTTACTAATAGTATAAAGCTGTGAATAAAAACGTGCAAAAATGCCCCAATGTTCATCGCAGCACTGTTTATAATAGCCAGGACATGGAAACAACCTAGATGCCCATCAGCAGACGAATGGATAAGCAAGCTGTGGTACATATACACCATGGAATATTACTCAGCCATTAAAAAGAATTCATTTGAATCGGTTCTAATGAGATGGATGAAACTGGAGCCCATTATACAGAGTGAAGTAAGCCAGAAAGATAAACACCAATACAGTATACTAACGCGTATATATGGAATTTAGAAAGATGGTAATGATAACTCTATATGCAAAACAGAAAAAGAGACACAGATGTACAGAACAGACTTTTGGACTCTGGGAGAAGGCGAGGGTGAGATGTTTCAAGAGAACAGCATCGAAACATGTATATTATCTAGGGTGAAACAGATCACCAGCCCAGGTTGGATGCATGAGACAAGTGCTTGGGCCTGGTGCACTGGGAAGACCCAGAGGGATCGGGTGGAGAGGGAGGTGGGAGGGGGGGACAGGGATGGGGAATACATGTAAATCCATGGCTGATTCATGTCAGTGTATGACAAAAACCACTACAATATTGTAAAGTAATTAGCCTCCAACTAATAAAAATAAATGGGAAAAAAAACGTGCAAAAATGTAAGGCTTTCCCTGTAAATTAGATTTAAAAAATTATACCTATTACTACTAAGGATTTGTGGTGGCTGGAGATTAAAATACTGTGATCCTTCTAGAAAGCAGTTTAGTATTATGTTTCAGGATCTTTATCGATATAATTACACCTACAGGTGTGTGTCTTAAGGAATAATTAAGAATGCAATTAGAGTTCATGCATAAGGACTCCCAGAGCAGTGTTCTGTATAATAGCTAAAACCTGAAATGACCATTAACAGCCCAAAACAGGGAAAGGCTGAATAAGGAATAGTTCACACAACGGAAAACTATGCAGCTTGAAAACTAATTTTGACGATAGAGGAAAATGTTGAATAATAATATTTTAAAAGCCCTGGGATCTCAACCATATACTTTTTTAAGTTAAGCAGTGCTTTGAAGTGGAGAGAGATTTTTAAAAGCATGATGCTTTAACAAGTCTCACTACATTCTAACCTACTTTGACTAAGTGCCTGCCAGAAGAAATGACAATAGTCTTTCACCTTGCTGAACATCATAAGTGAGTGATTTTTGAAGACAACTGCAATAGTAACTTTTCTACAGCCTTTCCTTTAACTTTTCAAAATGCACTCTTACAAAGCAAGCAAAGACCTCTCTTGGATTATAAAACAGCAATATTATTAACACTAAAGTATTGAGTCTCCATGAGCCTGGCATTATTCTCAGTGTGGAATATTTTAAGTATTAACAAATTTATTGTTTGCTCATTTGATGCCAGGCTTACTGTCCTTGAATCATGAAAATGGTTATTTAAAACACTCTACAATGTTGATTGTTGGACCAGAGTGATGGCTACATGAGAACTGATTACATTATTCCAATTTGGGGTATATTTTTAAATTTTCATGATAAAAATTGTAACACCAAATAATTCACATGGAACCAGTGAAAGCATGTGTAGTCCACAGTGTTTAGTTTTCTAAAACTAAAATTCTAAACCTTTCTTAATTATTATATGTACACTTTCCAACTAACAGAGTTTGAAAATATAATCTTATATTTACATGCAGAGAAATAATATGCTTGCATAAACATAAACTGTGTTCAAGCCACAGATGCTATTTTAGTTATATTTAGGTATCAAACTTTGTATCAGAAGGAGGCTTTTTTTGACACTGGAGAATAATTTGTATAAAAAAGTTGTGTTTGGTACTTTCTGGTGGTCCAGTGGTTAAGACTTTGCCTTCCGATGCAGAGGGTGTTGGATCCCTGGTCAGGAAGCTAGGATCCCACATGCCTTGCAACCAAAAAATAAAATAAAATAAAAATAAAACAGAAGCAATATTGTAGCCAATTCAATAAAGACTTAAAAAATGGCCTACATGAAAAAAAATTTTTTAAAGAAAGAAAAGTTGTATCATATTAAAAGTTCATCTTTACTAACCTGACATTTTAGGATCAAAATCCTTTCTTGATAAGCAAACTCATTCTACTAGGTCTTTCCTTGTATGCTTTTATTATTAAATTCATCTGCAATTTGACAAGCTATTTGATTTTCCACAGTTAATACACCTCAATTACCATAAAATAATACAATAGAGTTATGTAAACTTTAGAAGTGATCTAAACTATGAAATAACTGAGGATAAGAACCAATGACTTCTCATCATTGCATTCCTAATTATGGGCTTTTAATTAAAATGTCACATTGACTAGATTTAGTCTACTTTGCACACAGGGAAGGGCTCTTTCCCATCACACTCTTAACTGATGGTTCTATTAGCCTTGTTACAACCCCTCCAGTGATAAGGAATATTAAATTCATCTGATATCTAGCACAAAGTACCTGAAGCTGGTGGGTTTTTGTTTTTGTTTTCCTGCTACACCAGGTCTTCCTTGCAGCATTCAGGATCTCCTATATTCCTTGCAGCATGCAGGATCTTCTGTTGCAGCATATGAGATTTAGTTCCCCAACCAGGGACTGAACCACAGAACCCTGCATTAGAAGCTCAGAGTCTTAGCCACTGAACTACCAGGGAAGTCCCCAAACTGGGTGGTTAAAACAATAGAAATATATTTTCTGAAAGATCTGGAGGTCAGAAGTGCAAATCAAGGTGCCAGCAGGGCCAAGCTCCCTCTGAAACCTGGAGGGGATAATTCTTTCTTGCCTCTTCTTGTTTCTGATGTCTATCAGCAATCCTTGGCATGCCTTGGAGCACAGTTGCAGCATTTTGATCTCTGCTGCCATCATCACATGGCCATCTCCCTGTGTGTCTGTCTTTATATGACATTCTTTTTCTGTGTCTCCATGTCTTTACATGATATTCTCCTGAGTCTGTGACCAAATTTCCTTCTTCTAAAGACACCAGTCATCTCACATTAGGGTCCACCTTAATGACCTCATCTTACCTTGATGACGTTTGCAAAGATCTTACATCCAAATAAGGTTACATTCATGTTCACTGGGGTTTAGGACCTCAAATATCTTTAAGTAAGTAAGTGTTAGTCACTCAGTCTTATCCAACTCTTTATGACCCATGGACTGTAGCCTGCCAGGCTCCTCTGTCCATGGAATTCTCCAGGCCAGAATACTGGATAGTGGGTAGCCTTTCCCTTCTCCAAGGGATCTTCCCAACCCAGGCTTCAAACCCAGGTCTCCCATATTGCAGGTTGATTCTTTACCATCTGAGCTACCATTCCCCCCTCATATAGAATACTGAAACACAGACAACTGTAGAAGCTAGAGCGTGAGCTGTGATCAGCCCCTTAAATTTTCTGGAATGAGGTTTATCTCACTTTATGTGATTAAAATACTTAATAGTAAAACATAGTATCACCTACCAAGGGCTGATCAAGTGCTAGGCACATGTTCAGAGCACTGAAGAATAACTCCCTGAGTTCTCACAAAGACAGACTCCTAATAATATCAGTCCTTGATGAAAGGCCTTTAAATATTTAATAATAGCTCTTATAGTCCTACTAAATCCTTTCTTCCAGGTAAACATTATCAGTCCCTTCAAACATTTTTTATGTTGAATCATTTCTAATCAATCAATCTGAATAATCCTGAGTTGACTGTTCAGAAAATTAGAATTGTTTGCATCACCTGCCTTCTAATTAAAACTTAAATCTAGGTCTACATATATGGGTATGTAGACATACATGTATATCTACATACATATTTGGAATATATATACTTAGGAAAAATATATATATACACACATATATATTTGCTCAAAGACTCTTGCTTATCCAGAACTCATAAATTTTGTGGCAGGAATTGAATAAATGCATTTTCATAAATTCCCCACCAGTAGCACAAAGAGTTGGACATGACCGAAGCAATTTAGCACATAAAGCTGCAGTTAATAAGGTTTTATAATACATATTGATAATACTATTATACTTTGAATACTAGGCAATTCTGAATATTTTTAAAGCATTCATAATAACTATCACTTCTTTGTTTACCAACTGGTAAAAAGTTCAAGTATTATAAAATGAACTTGAAGGACCCTAGGGATTATTTTCATAGGGTACTGCAATGCCCCATTTTAGGTCCCATTTCTGTTCACCAGAAATTTCTCAGAGGATTTAGTCAAACATGAAACTTTTTGCTCTATTTGTAAGTAATGTACTTTTATTTCAAAATCAAATCTAATATGCTGCTTTCTATTTCAGATCTTAAAAAAAATAGCTCAAAAGGCTATTAGATCTTCATTTTGATCCGCATATGTGTGTCTGCAAGTGGATTAGATAAATTGGAACTTCATGAAAATGAGGTAGAGTTAAACTATTTCATAGTCTGGTTTCTTATTAAGAAGTAATAAAATTTTATCACGGGTCCATGGTGTCCTGGTGCTAGACTAATACTGAAGCCAACGGCAGGCTTTTATCAAAAAATTAAACTTTGACTTACAGCCAAGATTCTGGTTTTCAGCTAAGATACTTTACATCTATGGCAGCTTGGTACTTCATGGATTAATTGTCATAATACGTGATTATTGATGCAGAATCCTCTGTAATTTCTTTTGGTCTGGCAGTCTTGTATATTGATAATTGAACCTTTAACATTTTTAATAGCACAAGTAACTAAGTTGTCAGAATTTCCTCCCTTAAATCCTGACAGCCTTGTCCTCCTAAAGTAAGGATGTGGGTGCTAAGTCGCTTCTGTCATGTCTGACCTCTTTGCTATCCTATGAACTGTAGCCCACCTGGCTCCTCTGTCCATGGGATTCTCCAGGCAAAAATACTGGAGTGGGTTGCCATGCCCTCCTCCAGAGGATCTTCCAACCCAGGGATCGAACTCATGTCTCTTACATCTCTTGCGCTGGCAGGCAGGTTCTTTACCACTAGCACCACTTGGGGTGAGGTAAGGATACTCCTTTATTTCCATTTCTCCACAACACTTCTGCCTGCTTACCACTAGCAATGGCCCAGATTATCAGTTGCTGGCATCTGGTAAATTCAGTTCTTACTGGCCCAGAGAATGTACTAGTTATACTAGTTATATCCCATAGCTAATTAGAATGCAGTCTCTTTGCTAGAGAACAGTTTATTTAGCTCATCAATGAATAATACTTGGCTTGAATCTTGATTTAAAAATTAAAGGGAAATGGAAACAGGGTGAGAAAAGGGAAAATATTTTCTTCAAAGCAGGAATTTGTGTTAATTAAATTGAAAAAAATAAATATGGATTTTGTATAAGACTGGAAGGAGGGGCTTTAGGCTAAAACACTAAACCTAGAAAAGTTAAAATTTTCACCTGCATTTCAAGAATCTTACTTATGAAATCTAGAAATATGTTATTTTTGTAGTCTTTTAATTCTTAAATATTTTAATATACATAAAAATGTACTCAACTTCAGGTTCCATCAAATACTAGAAACAATTTATTTTAAAATCTCAGCATAGTTGTAGGAGATTTGTCAATGACCTAATGTGAAAACTAGTCAGACTCCAGAAATAGATGGGGGAGGGTAATATTTTATTGATGAATGTTTCATGAATAACATGCATGATTCAATATTTACTTTTGGTTAAATGTTTCTGAACAGCCAAATTTCTGTAATCTGTATTTATGTTAATTGTTTACACAGGATTTATTAAGGAAAAGATACAGTTCTTCATATTAACACAACTTTACCATGAATTTAGAGGCAACACCATCTTAGGCAGGTGTTAAACACTGAAATATATAAATAACAGATACAGTCACTTTTTTCCTCTTTATTTGCATAATCAAATCTGATCACCACAAGCAGCATAGAAAGACATTTCCATGCTAATTTTCAGAATTCTTCCTAATTTACCTCAACTAATTCAAATGTGAAGCTCCATAACACTTTAGGTCAGTGGTTCTCTCAGTCTGGCTGCAGTTTGGAATAATCTAGAGAAGCTTTCTTTTTTTCCCATTGTCATGGAAACGTTTCTAAAGTTTGTTTTTTAATTTTTTTTCAATTGGCATGTAATTGCTTTACAATGTTGTGTTCGTTTCTGCTTATCCCTTTAGCCACATGCTCTCCTACTTGGTCCTGGCTCTCACCACCCCATCCCCAT